ATTTTGAAACAGCCGCTTTGGAGCAAGTAGTGTAATGGTACAAAGAAGACTTGTTTGGGACAGAAAAATAGTTGTAGATTGTTTTAGTCATAATTTATATATTTTAAATACTAAACTGTCTCCTCAGATTGACCTTTGTTAAACACTAGGTCGGAATTAGGGCACCCCTTTTGCGATAGAACGTTCCACCGGCAGAATGACGAAAAACCTGCCGTAAGTTTCGCGAACCATTACGCATGGGTGCAAGGCGCTACACTAAAGTAAAATACACAACTGTTTAGCTTTAATCTTTGTTATCTGTATCTGTAAATATTAAAGCTCGTGTTGCGCGAGTTTTGGGTCAGACAAACCATTACCAAAGGTATGTGCGTTTGCATGGAACATAGGTCGGAATTAGGACCCCTCCCGTTAGTATGAAAGTTATGTGCGTAATATGTTTGTATGCCGGTTTGATGGCTACTGACGGTTGGTTCGGTATGGACTGTTGATTAACGCAGTGTTCGAAATACTTTTTTGAGCAAAGTAGCACAGTGTGCTACCTAGGGCAAAACTAGGTAGCGCAGCAGAATTTTAGGTAGCGCCACCGCCCCCCCCCATTTGTCAAATTCTATGCACGTGTCGCAATACTATATTTCTTCCAATCATAGAGGTATAATACCTCCATGCTCTAATAAAGTTACTATTTTTGAGGTTTCAACTCTGAAGTAGGAGCTCTGGGTCGAAGCCAAATTACGGGTGCGTGATTTATTCTGGTTTTCTACTGATAAAAATCGGGACAGTATTTGCGCCGGGCAGCAGGCCATGTACGCGAAATGGTACGCCCAGTATAGCAGCGATCTATTCATGTTTTATGTTTACAATTGTGCAAATTTTTTTTACAGAAATTTGATCACATATGCTTAAAAATATTGTTATACTGATGTTAAAAATATTTTAAGACACTGAATCGCTGGCTGTGATGTGCAGCAGTGTACGTACGCCGCGTAGCGTGCCAGACATTGGCCGTGCAAGCCTATAGAATGCCCCACTTGCGACATAAATTTCTGAGGCTTATGGTGCGCATCGTGCGTATCCACAATTATTCCCATCGTAAACATAGTCACTGGGATCTGAAATGCATACATACTTTGTTTATGTTTTGATCGTACACGTCAAACTGCCACGCTGGTCTACGCTGCGAGCTGGTCTCGGCTGCACTTCCGGGTTCCATAAATCGACACCATAAATCGACAAAGAAACAAATATTTCCCCCCAAATTTATATTAATTGTGCACTTTTTCACTAGATGTGGCTATGCAGTCCTGGAAAACAGCGTTTAGTGCATATTTTCAAACAGAAAAATCGCGTCCCCGCGCCCTTCATGTTGCCGCCCGGCGATCTCAGCTGAAGCGAACAACCAATCAGAGACGCGTAACGCGGATACGTCATGCAAGATTGCATACCGCCCGCCCACCGCTTCTGCTGGCTGCTGCCATGCTAGCTACGCGCCGTACTTGAAATAAATTGACGTGTATCGCCGTATTTCTGGAAATAAATGCCGCGACACGAAGATCTAGCGCTGACTCGGCTTGCACCCAGCGTTCAGGGTCACCCGCGCCATTACCCCCGCCGTCATCCCGCGCCGTCATTGCTGCGCCGTCACCCAACGTTTTTATCGGAACCAGACACCCCTCTGTTTGACCCCTTTTGAATGGTAAGACCCAAAACTGAAACCTCCCCATTCCTTAACAACATGGTAAATTCCATTTTCAGCATGGCGGGGGTGTCCGGAGCACTTAAAAACCTTTTATTTCCACGCCCATAAACACATATGCAATTAAACAAAAACGTTCTGCACCATCTGCAGCCCAACAGCAATACGTATACCGAACCACAGACAAATCCGTCCAGCCGATCGCGAGAAACAGCTGCTGACAGAAATGTTTCGAACAATAGTAAAACCTCCTCGCGGAAGGATATCTCCTTCCCCGGAGGTAACAAGATAAGAACATAATTTGCCAAAAAAAGTAGAAGGCAACAAAACGTTAAATTATACTATGTGGAAGGCTCCAGCTATTTACAAATCACATTGGTTCTGCATCCTATGCAATTTAGCGCATGTTTTGTGGGGCTTAAATTGATGCAATTCATGTTTCATGCATACAGAATACAATGTGGACAACTCATGGTGCATTTGTATGGAACACGAAACGTGGGAGCACTCAACGCAACATACGTTCTCCAATTTCGAATCGACTCGTCTGTTGTTTCTCTCAGATATTCTAAAATGTGTTGGATAAAGTATTTTGCCAGAATTGCAATATGTTCTCTAGCACAAATGAGCTTTCATTCCAAGACAAAACTGTCTTGCATGCCTCACCTATGCTAAACGGTAAAAAGGACTCTGTCCCCGGTGCCAGCTGCCCGTCGGCGTCCAGGAATCGGGTCGGGTCGAACCTCTCCGGATCGGGCCAGTACTTCGGGTCCATGTGGAGAGACCACAGGTTGGGCAGTATGAAGGTGCCGGCGGGGATCTGTGGCACAAATAACAAGTGCAAAAAGAGGATTCCATCGTACAAAGAAAGCAAATGACAGCTCAGTCCACTTGATAACATATTCGAGAAGATGTAAGTGGTCACCTGGTGCCCTAAGATGGTAGCAGGAGCTGTGGTTTCATGAGGAATAGAGGAAGGAGCGATGGTGCGAATCCGCTGGGCCTCACGTATGGTCGCCTCCGTGTAGGGAAGGTGGTCTCGCAGCAGCATAGACGGGGTCTG